ACTCACCTTAATGGTCCTGAGGGGATTCGAACTAGTGACTATTGAGGAGCAAACTCGAGGTCTGACCAATTAAGCAACCCCTCAAGGTTCCAATTTTATCAAATTTTCAACTACACATTTTATCAATTTTGATTAAAATATACAAAAAATTTAATTTTTATCCAAATCAAACAGGTGCCAATAACATAGTAGATTAGATTACACTTGACAATAATTAAAAACAAGAAAATTATACCAATATATTTTTTACACTAACTTAAAACATATATTTCGTGTGGTTTCTTCGTTGAAAAAGTAATTTTCCTTATGGTAATTTTCGCTTTTGTGTTCATCTTTTGGTTACTTGTTAGCATTGAATGGGGCCCTTAATTGGCACCGCCTTTCCTTTATTTATATTAAATTTTTTTTTCGAGAGATTAGTATAATGTGGGTCCACTTCTTTATTCCTAGAAAGTGCACGAATGTACGGAGTGAATATGCGTTGCACGTTATTTTAAAATATTTTATAAGTGTCGTGAAAGTAGTATTTGACCCTTTATTTATCCCGTTCATCTATGTATAAGAGAAATGCAAACCCCTGAAAATAAGTGTTAATTATTATACACGTACATAAATAGTGAAATGTATACTAGAATGTGAGTATTAAAATTATAACTAAATGCATGAATGAAGATGAATGACAAATTCAATACATGAATTAACGTGAATGTTAATTAATTTGGAATTAATACAAATGAATATATACGTGACAATGAAAGTTAAATTATTTACATTAAATAAATATAATTTAATTTCTAATTAAGTGAAATCGGGTGGTAATTAGCATACATGGACTTCTACTTGGGGGTGCTAAAGTAGATTTCTAATTAGTGAATTGTGCAGTTGTATAACTATGCAACTACACTTCTACCTGGGGTGCTAAAGTTCAAGTAAACTTGGTTTTTAAATTTTTTTTTTTTAAAGAAAAAAAGGGGCAATTTAGAGAACACGAGCTAGTTTACCTATAAACATTAAGTACAAATCGACTCGACCCAATTGGACAATGGTATCTGAGATCGAGTAGGTTTATCCATTTATTACGTTGAACAATACAATCTAACTTTCGTCGAGTACGAACTCTATAGGTTGAATCGGTGTATTTGTTGAAAATTGTACAAAACGTAACAAAGTTCTTTTTGTAAATAAGTGCAAGTTTTAAGAATACTCTTTAACTTTTGTTATAATTGATATTTGTCACCGCAAACTCTCGTGATCGTAATGTCTCCAAATATAATATCATCTTCAAGTTTAGCTAAGACTCAATTATAATATCATCTTTAAGGTTAGTTAAGACTCAATTCATAAATTTATGAATCTTAGCACCTCGGTTGTTATCTAGAGCATGTTTGGGAGAGTTTAAAATTCAATTAAAATTGAAAATATAGTCATTATTGGGTCCCGCTCGTCTAATAAAAGTCAACGATAACGACTAATTTTTCAATTTTAATCCAATTTTAATATCTACCAAACATCCCCTAGTATATAAAGGAAATCCACTAGAAAAATAAAATTGCAGCTTTTAGCCAGGAAAAATTGTCGTTTGACTTTTCCTCCCACGATGACTAAAAGCCCTAAAAGGGGAAACTTTGGTTTCTTTTGAAAGTTAATTCTCTATTATGGTTATTTAAAAGCGGCCCACTCTTACTTTGGTTGAAGGATATTTTCTTAGCTTCATGAGTCATTTTCTGATACAAATGTGTAAATATGTTAACAGAAAACAAAAGGCAAAAAAATAAAAAAAAAATAAAATTGAAACAAGACCACTATCCCATCAAAGAGAGAATAACATCGAAATTATTTCACGGAAGTATGTTTTGATAATTTTGAAAATAAAGAAAAAGGATTTGTTTACGTGTTTTTCCACTATTATCGGTTTCCAAACGGAAATTTTTTTTTATCATCCCAATCCCTTGACAAGTTATTTGTGTCTTCCATTTTTTAAAAAGAGAAATCAGAACCAATTTTATTATCTAATATCTCCTGCAATGACAGACGAAAGAAAAAATTGAAATAAAATCCTCACAAGACACGTATTTAGAAGAGTCAACGCCTACTTCATCTAACAATACTATAATATCCTACAAGATTCTAGCATTGGGTGCTAAAAGTAAATGTGAGGCAAACTTTTAACCACACGGCCACTTTAAAACCATTGTCTTTAGCAAATTGGAGTCTATATTAAGCAATAAATTCAACGAATCTCGAATCAAAAAAGTTTTCGACTTGCTTAGAGTTAGTTGCCAACATCGAACTCAGATGATCCCGAATGATGACCCCCAACTAATTAAACCCTCCTAAATTGCAGTATCGTTTGTCAAATATCATATGTCCCTTGTACGACTTCCTCCTACGAGGGCTAACACACGGCCCTGCACCAGCATATGACCCCAACCACATTCCAAAATATGACCTCTATAACAACTTGATTTGTAATCTTTGAAATGACACGTATTGTTCCATAATATTCCATTAGTGTTGTATGAGTAGTCTTGTTGAGTAGAAAAAGTTATTTGACTATTAATATAATTGATTTTTTTTAAAAGGCTATTATATAAAAGAACAAAGTAAATAGAAATGGAAAAGGAAAATAAAAGGGAGATGAAAGGGAAAAGGAAAAGGAAAGGAAGAGTATATAATAATGTAAAGAAAAGAACAATTAAAACTTAGAAAGATTGGATGACGAACGAGGAGCAAGGTGCGATAAAGATGTTGGGTTGAAATTAAAATGGATTGTATGAATAGGGATAACAAAAAAAATCCGAACGATCCAAATTCGCGGGCTCCAACTCGAACGAAGTAAGAATTCCTCGCCTCGTCGGGTTGTGAGTTTGGGTTCAGCACGAGGAAAGTTTTTTAGTGCCCTACCCACGTCTCTCCATTTAAGTATTATTTAAAAAAGTTCATGTTAAAGTTTAAACAACATGGTTCCTACCCGCTTTCCCATTTTCCCATTTTGCAATTCTGTACCCCTGTTTCAATAACAATAATAAATAACGAGATAGTAAATAGGGCATATGAGTTCTCAATCCCACATCGCCTCGTCTTAAACGGGGCATGGGGACCAAAAATCCTCGATAGGGTGGAACACAAAATGGGCGTCCGTTCCCCGTTGCCATGTGTGTGAATTTCATATAATAAAAGCAATCTATCAATCCAAATCTTCTGAACCATTCAATAATGTGCATACGCGTGTCAGCTTATATGGAAAATGAGCAAAGAGCACCAGGAAAGGCTGGTTAGTTGGAAGAGGATATATATAAAATTCGAAATTGATCTTCTAAGCACTAATGTTTAGGTGACGTGACACACTACAATAAATAGTATAATAAGTTTTGTAAGCACCAAAGTTTAGGAGATCAGTCCTGATATCTATACATGTGTTATTATGTCACTTGACAGAGATTTCGTAAAATTCATTTTTAATTGCAGATTTTATCAATAAGATATTTTACAAGTGAATCCGTAATTTTTTCTAACTTTTAATCACACGATCTCTAAAAATTCACTTCCACAACATATATTTTTTTTCTTACTTTTGTTGAAAAAAATTGTAACTCATTCGTAAAGAAATAAGTGTGGTTGACGCGAATGTCTATAAAATAAAATAATTACAATAATATTGTACTTGTACATAAACAATTACGTAATGATTTATATACAGATGATGTGTTATAAAGAGAATGTGAACTTTTTTTATTTGATTGAAAAAATCTGATCCAATCATATGTCACCATATCATGTGGATATAAACAATGATATAAATATATTATGTAGATGTAGTACAACCCAAATAATTATACACATATCACTGTTTATTAAAAAACTAACCATTATGAGACAAGTCGTCTATAAAAATCAATTTTAATAATATTTGTCACGATAAAATAATATTACACGTAATGTGATTTTTCCTACTTTTAATAACAAAATTTTCAAAAAATAAGTTTTTACAAAATCTATTATAAAAAATGCTCAAATTTAAGCCCTTATTTGAACTCAATTTTTTGAAAAAAATTGATTTTGAAAATAGTGTTTTTTTGAAGAATGTGTGGTTAAAAAGTAAGGAGAATTTTTGAGTATACATATAATATTATTTTAACGAGAGAATATGTGGTTGATAAGCGAAGAAAGAAAAATGAATTAAAATTATTGAGGTCCAATTGTCCAAACATGGGTTAAATGACATAAGAATTTGATAACACTGTTTGAGTCCAATTTTTTGGTGTATAATACATTTTGAAATGAGTTTTGCTACACGGAAAGGCTCAATGACAAGTTAAAAAGCGGTCGGACACACGTCGATATATGATTGAACATTTAAAAAAAAAAAAAAAACACACGCATGACTTGTCATCCCATCTGGTTCAATGATCTTTTGGAATAGTATATCGATGAAGAATGTGTAGTTAAAAATAATTTTTTTTTAAATTGAGTGTAATATTATTTTATTGAAAAATGTGTGGTCGAAAAAAAAGAGATAAAAATATATTTTGGAAAAAATGGGATAAAAGGCTTAACTTTTTATTAATTTTTATTTCTATTGCCACTATTTATCTATTTTTCCCTTTTTCCGGGTTCCCTGTACAACAGATATATATATACACAGAAGTCCCCTACTCCAAGTATTTTCTTCTCTATATCTCTATTCTTCTCCCATACGCGATCACCTATCGCATACCAAAAACCTCCTGAGGAAACCCTAGAAATTCAGATCTTTCATATATTGTATATCTATATTTTTAATCCATACATCAAACCTTCTGTCCCGTTCAAAGCCTTAATCGCTTTTCCAATTTCTTAATTCTCCACCGTACAATTCTCCTCCATTTATTTTTCTTGAAATCTTTGACATCTCCTACTTCAGTTGGTATCGATTTCGATCGGCTTTTGAATCGGCCGATTTATTTATTTTTTATTTTTATTTGGTACGGGAAATGTTATCATTTGGTTGATTTTCAGGAATGAAGTTGAAGCGTAGGAGGGCACTTGAAGTGGTCAGTGGAATTTTGTTTTTTATGTTCCGGTTGTTTATTGATGGGGATTTTAATTGTTAATAAGTGGGAAATTTTATTGGGTTCATTTATTTGTTATTTCTTTATGAAGTTTTGTCATCTCAGTGTTTCTCTTGGTTTTGAGTGATCGCGAATTACCATTAGTTGGATTTTTGGAAAATATTTTGTTGAAATTTGACTTTTTTTGTTAAGATCCTTTTCTCTCAATTCTAATATGAGGTATTTTTAGGTTTTTTATATTTTAGGGTTAACATTGATTTCTTTGCTGTTTTACACGTGTCAACTTCATGTCATCTGATAGTTGAGCTTTAAAGTTTTCCGTACCCACTTCTGGTAAAGAGGATAATTGTTATTTCTGATGGAGAGGGTGAAAGGTTTCTGGTTTGTGATGGGATTTGGCTGCTGATCATGCATTGGCAGTTTGTCTCTTCTTAGCCTTTGTTTGATTAATGTTTATAAACTATTTATAATTGGTAAAACCATTTATTATCCACACATTTCATGGCATCCACAAATACTATCAACTTATCCACAATTTTTGATCTGCTTCAGCAAGTTTAATACTTTTACTTGTATTTTATGGCGTGCTTGTTGTCATGTCAGGAGGCTAGTGTTTGCACAGCATGAATCATCTCGTGAGTTCAGAAATCTAGTTCATGTTGTCTTGAATGGAAAAAAAGATGAGAAAAAGAAGATAAGACTATTTTTGAGAAAAATACAAGCTTTTTTAAAGATATTTTACAGACAATTGAGCCATGATTCAGACTTTTTTTGTTGAGCTTCTAAACATGTTCTATTAGAGTTTGTTTGGTAGAGATTAAAATCGGATTAAAATTGAAAAATTGGCTGTTATTGTTTTATTAGACGAATGAGACATAATAACTGCTATATTTTCAATTTTAACTGGATTAAAATTCCTCCCAAACAAGCTCTTAATATTATAAATCCAGGGATATTTCTGAAATTGAGCTGTCATCTAATTTGTAGGACTTCGCTAAATAGACTGAGGTTGCATCAAGACACTGTTTTAGCAATTCATTGTAGGTTATAATTTGTTTAGTTCCAGTTAGGAGACATATGGCGAATAGAATTGGGAAAGATAGGAGGTGTAACCTCATGTAAAATCTTTCGATTTAGGGAAGGTATAGCTTTCATGGCAATTTTAAGAGATTTCGAGCTGTGTGAAGGAGTCTTTGGAATTTGGGTTTGATCCATAGATTTCATGTCTTCCTGTTTCTCTCATTTCCTTGAATTTTGTTTTTCCAGGAACTGTTCTTTAGCACCTTAAGTCTTAAATGTCCTTACTTTTCTCTTTCTTGATTTCTAAAAATCAGACCTCCCTAAATCACTGCATGATAGGAGAGCCCCAAGGCTTTCATAAAACGGTTGTGCTTCTAATTTTTCAGATTTAAATATTTCTTTGGAAGTGGGCCCGTAGCCCACATAAGTTGAATTTTTTTTAGTTACTCTTACTGCAACAAAAATAATAGTAATAGTATTATAATGAAGTGCCGTACCCAAGACAAACCAAAGAAAAACTCTTTTATTACAATTCTTACTGCTCCACAGCTGCACAACTACCAAAACATACAGAGACTTTCCCCTGCAAAAATTGCACAACACTTGCAGTATCTATAGCGACTCTGTAGCTGATTCTCTTCGCTTTTTTTTTTTTGTTCTCTTCTTTCCCCCTTTTCGTTTATTTCAATTTTACTCCTTCCATCTATGTATTTAGTAAACTTATCTTTTCTCCTTTCATCCGCGTCTTCACCGCACGGCATTACTAGGTTTTTTACCCTTTTACTGTGTCTTCAGTTTTGTGAGACTCAATTTTATATTCTTTGCCATGCATCCATTAATTTATTAGAAAAACATCAAGTCAAAACTAATATTGTGAATAATTGTTGGGTCCTAGTTTGTCATCTACTCATCTATTCTGTTTTGTTGCATAGCTTTATTTAAACTGAGGGGGCGCTTTGTTGCGTGGTTCTTTTGTACTATTTTTTAGTTCTTTTGACATATTTTTTGGTATGCAGTGAGGCTTATGCCTTGCCTCATGTAGGAAAAAGCCTCAGAACCCGATTATGACTTTTTGAATATTAATTATGGATGAGAAAAGTTGGTGGAAACTGTGTTTACAAGCCATAAAACTTAGCTAGGCACTTGGTTCTTTTAAAGAAAGAAACCAATTGGATTTTTGTGCTTAAATGATTTTAGATTGTAGAATATTTCCCCAGTTTATATAAATCATGTCCTGGCATTGTTGATAAAATCTTATTTTCTAATATAATTTCATTGCCGTTGTTTTTTCTCTTTACTTGTTTTCATGTTGAGGCTATGCTATTAGAATCAAAATCCTCGACACTTGGAGATAATAGATCTTTTTTCCATACTTTTTGCAGCCTCCAAAGATTAAATCCTTCATCAGCAGTGTTACGGCTACCCCACTTGAAAATATAGAAGAACCCTTAAAAACTTTTGTTTGGGAGTTTGACAAGGTGCATTTATAAACTCTGCCTAACTCTTTAATTATGTCATATGCTTTGATTGATATTGATTTCCTATGGATGCAGGGAGATTTCCATCATTGGGTTGATTTATTTAATCACTTTGATACCTTTTTTGAGAAATACGTAAAATCAAGAAAAGATTTGCAACTTGAGGACAACCTTTTGGAATCTGATCCTCCCTTCCCGAGGGATTCTGTTCTTCAGATTCTCCGCGTCATTAGAATAATATTAGAGAACTGCAGCAATAAGCACTTCTACAGCTCATATGAGGTACTTTTTTTTATCTCAATCTCAGCTTTTGTTCAAGGCATCATATTTCTTGTAAAGAAAACTGATATTCTTTTGACGTCAATTGGTATGGTTCCTTCTTTTCTCATTCTTTGTGCAATTATTGTCCACATATCTGAAAGCAAAGTATTCTTGCATGACCTGGAAATGTAAAGATGACCATGATACCTTAGGTGGTAGCGTATAAATAGTTTCTTTATATAGAACTTCTGGTAGTGTTGGATAAGATATTGTCATGCTGGTTGTGGTGCTGGAAGTTGGGTGACTGGTGGTGTTGGTGGTAGGGCAGTGGACACCAAGAGAAGTGAAAACAGGAAGTAAGAACAACTGAAGAGTAAATGATTTTAATTGCAACTTTTGGCTGTAGTGTTGTGAATTTGTGCGTTTTCTCTTGCTTTGAATCATTGGAGGTCACATGAATGCCATCACTTCCTCATTTTTTGTTCAATATGTTTCATTTTACATGTTACTTATCCAATCTTTTCATATGAATGCAGCATCACTTATCGTCTCTGCTTGCTTCAACTGATGTGGATGTTGTCGGGGCATGCCTGCAGACTTTGGCTGCTTTTTTGAAGAAGACCATTGGAAAGTACATTATAAGAGACGCATTTCTAAATTCAAGATTACTTGCTTTTGCACAGGGTTGGGGGGGAAAAGAAGAAGGTCTTGGATTAATTTCTTGTGTGATACCAAATGGAATTGACCCAATTGCGTACCAGTTGGCTTGCACCCTGCATTTTGAGTTTTATGCAGTGGATGAATCTTCGAGTGACACTATTTCAACAGAACATCCCACCAAAGGCTTACAAATCATACATTTGCCTGACGTTAACACCAAACTAGAGTCTGATCTTGAACTTTTGAATAATTTAGTTGTAGAATATAAAGTTCCTCAAAGTTTGAGATTTTCTCTTTTGACAAGATTGCGATTTGCTAGGGGATTTAGCTCCCTTGCTTCACGGCAACAGTACACATGCATCCGCCTGTATGCTTTTATAGTTCTTGTTCAAGCTTGTGGTGACACTGATGACCTGGTTTCTTTTTTCAACACCGAGCCAGAGTTCATCAATGAATTGGTTGCCTTGTTGAGCTATGAAGACACAGTTCCTGAAAAAATTCGAATTTTGAGTCTTCTTTCCTTGGTTACCCTTTGTCAAGATAGGTCACGCCAGCCTACTGTATTGACTGCTGTAACATCTGGAGGGCACCGTGGTATTCTATCCAGCCTCATGCAAAAAGTTATTGACTCAGTTGTTAGTAATTCATCAAAGTGGTCTGTTGTTTTTGCCGAGGCTCTGTTATCTCTTGTTACTGTTTTGGTGTCGTCTTCATCTGGTTGCTCAGCTATGCGTGAAGCAGGATTTATACCAACTCTTCTTCCTCTACTCAAAGATACTGATCCACAGCACTTGCATTTGGTTAGCACGGCTGTACATGTTCTTGAAGCATTTATGGATTATAGTAATCCAGCCGCTGCGCTTTTCAGAGACTTGGGAGGTTTAGATGATACAATATCACGCTTAAAGGTAGAAGTGTCTCATGTTGACAATGCTTCAAATCCTCAGAGTACTTCTGTTGACCTAGACAGTTTGGACTGTACTGGTTCTCTAGTAGTTACAGATACTTCTCCTGAGCTAGATAGTTTGCAGCCTCTTTATTCAGAAGCCCTGGTTGCATATCATCGCCGATCATTGATGAAAGCCTTACTTCGTGCTATATCTTTGGGAACCTATGCTCCTGGAACCACTGCTCGTATTTATGGTTCAGAAGAAAGCTTGTTGCCCCATTGCTTATGTATTATTTTTAAAAGAGCCAAAGATTTTGGTGGTGGGGTATTTTCACTTGCAGCAACTGTTATGAGTGATCTCATTCACAAAGATCCTACCTGCTTTTCTGTCTTAGAAGCAGCTGGTATTCCTTCTGCGTTTATGGATGCTATAATGGATGGTGTTCTTTGTTCCGCTGAAGCTATTGCTTGCATACCACAGTGTCTTGATGCCTTGTGTTTGAACAACAATGGGCTACAGGCCGTGAAAGATCACAATGCTTTGAGGTGCTTTGTGAAAGTTTTTACTTCCAAAACATACTTGCGTGCCCTTACTGGTGATACTCCGGGTTCCTTGTCCAGTGGTCTGGATGAACTAATGCGTCATGCTTCATCATTACGGGAACCAGGAGTTGATATGCTGATTGAAATTCTGAACAGTATTGCAAAAATTGGATCTGGACTTGAATCTACATCTCTGTCAACAGATCATCCAAGCTGCTCTCAACCTGTTCCCATGGAAACTGAAGCTGAGAATAGAGATATTGTTTCTTCAGATGACAGAGATTCATGCAGGGCTGAAAGTTGTGAACAGTCACTTGAATCATCTTCTGATGCCTCGCTATCGAATGTGGAATCTTTTTTACCTGATTGTATAAGCAACGTTGCTCGTCTACTTGAAACAATTCTTCAGAACTCGGATACATGCCGAATTTTTGTCGAGAAGAAGGGAGTTGAATGTGTTCTCCAGTTGTTCACTTTGCCTCTTTTGCCTCTTTCAATTGCTCTTGGTCAAAGTATATCTGTTGCATTTAAGAACTTCTCTCCTCAGCATTCTGCTTCGCTTGCTCAGGCAGTTTGTGCCTTCCTGAGAGAACATTCAAAGTCAATAAATGAACTTTTGACTTCAGTCGGAGGGTCCCAGCTAGCTCAGGTGGAAGTTTCCAAGAGAATGAAGGTCTTGAGGTGCCTCTCTAGTTTGGAAGGCATACTGTCTCTTTCCAATTCTTTGTTGAAAGGGACCACTACGGTTGTCTCTGAATTGGGTTCTGCAGATTCTGATGTATTGAAGGATCTAGGGAGGGCTTACAGGGAAATTCTATGGCAAATTTCTTTGTGCTTTGATTGTAAGGTGGATGAGAAGCAGAATGTTGAAGCAGAGCCTGGAAGTGCGGATACAGGTGTATCTAATGTGTCTGAAAGGGAGAGTGATGATTCTGTTAATATTCCTTCCGTTAGATACATGAATCCTGTTTCAATCAGGAATAGTTCTCTCTCACAATGGGGAGTGGAACGTGAGTTTCTATCAGTGGTTCGTTCAAGTGATGGTTTCAGTCGTCGCAATCGACATAGTTTGGCACGTCTTCGGGGTGGAAGGGCTGGCAGGCATTTGGAAGCTTTCCATATTGATTCTGAAGCTTCAGCAAATAATGCAGAGACGACTCCTCAGAATTTGAAGAAGAAGAGTCCTGATGTGCTGGTTTTAGACATCTTTAATAAACTTGCTTCTACACTGCGTTCTTTCTTCACAGCTCTTGTCAAAGGTTTTACTTCACCAAATCGTCGAAGAACTGAAACTGGATCCTTGAGTTCAGCTTCAAAGAGCATTGCGACTGCCCTGGCAAAGGTTTTTCTTGACGCTCTGGGTTTCCCTGGACATGAGATATCACTTTCAGTCAAGTGTCGATATCTCGGGAAGGTTGTGGATGACATGGTGGCTCTTACATTTGATAGTAGAAGACGTACCTGCTACAATGCAATGATTAATAACTTCTATGTCCACGGAACCTTTAAAGAGCTCCTTACCACATTTGAGGCTACAAGTCAGTTGTTATGGACCCCTCCTTGTTCTATATCCTCGCCAGGTGCTGATCAGGAAAAGAATGGTGACGGGGGCAAGCTGTCTCACAGTTCATGGCTGCTCGATACATTACAGAGTTATTGTCGTGAACTTGAGTATTTTATTAATTCTGGGTTACTTCTGTCGTCAACCTCGGCGTTGCAGGCTCAGCTTCTTGTTCAGCCTGTTGCAGTTGGTTTGTCTATTGGGTTATTTCCTGTTCCAAGAGACCCAGAAGCATTCATCCGCATGCTGCAGGCACAAGTTCTGGATGTGATACTTCCAGTTTGGAATCACCCCATGTTTCCCAATTGTAACCCAGGTTTTATCACTTCCATCATCACACTTTTTACTCATGTGTACAGTGGCGTTAGTGACATGAAACGAAATCGCAATGCATTGTCTGGGAATGGAAACCAACGACTCATGCCCCATCCTCCTGACGAAGCTACTATCACCACCATTGTTGAGATGGGTTTTTCTAGAGCAAGAGCGGAAGAGGCGCTGAGACGCGTAGAAACAAATAGTGTTGAGATGGCGATGGAATGGTTATTTAATCATGCGGAAGATCCAGTACAGGATGATGATGAGTTGGCTCGTGCACTTGCTTTGTCCCTTGGAAGCTCATCAGAAACACCTAAAGTTGATGGTGCTTTAAAATCATTGGAGGTCTTGACACAAGAGGGACAAACAAAGGCTCCTCCTGTTGATGACATACTTGCAGTGGCAATGAAGTTGTTTCGAAGTAGTGATTCAATGGCTTTCACGCTGACAGATCTGCTTGTGACTCTTTGCAGCCGGAACAAAGGCGAGGATCGTGCAAAAGTAATTTCTTTTCTTGTTCAGCAGCTAAAACTTTGCCTCCTTGAGTTTTCTAAGGATGACAGTGTATTGTGTATGATCTCGCATACTTTAGCATTGCTTCTATCAGAAGATGGAAGTGCTCCAGAAATTGCTGCAGAAAATGGGGTTGTCTCGATTGCAATTGATATCTTGATGAATTTTATGGCTAAAACTGAGACTTCAATTGAAACCCCCTTCCCTAAATGCATCAGTGCATTACTTCTTATCTTGGATAATTTGGTGCAGCCCAGGCCTATAATTTCTGTTGACAGTAATGTTGGAACAGTAGGTAGATCTATACATGGCTCATCTGAAAATCATACTTCATCTGAACCAGTAACAGAGAAAAGTTTAACTCCAGTCGCCGTTGATAAAGAATCAGTCCCTGCTTTTGAGAACATACTTGGAAAATCGACTGGTCAGTTGACGATGGAGGAGAGTCGTAAGGTAATGTCAATTGTGTGTGACTTGATAAAAAGGCATGTACCACCTATGGCTATGCAGGCTGTTCTTCAGATATGCGCTCGATTGACAAAATCACATGCTCTGGCTGTGCAATTCCTTGAAAGTGGCGGCATGACTTCCCTTTTTGGTATTCCAAGAAGTTGCTTCTTTCCTGGATATGACACCTTGGCGTCAGCTATTGTTCGGCATCTTCTTGAAGATCCCCAGACATTGCAATCAGCCATGGAATTGGAGATACGACAAACTCTGAGTGGAAACCGTCATTCTGGTCGTATTTCTGTGAGAACGTTTTTGACATCAATGGCACCTGTTATATCTAGAGATCCAGAGGTCTTCATGAAAGCAGTAGCTTCTGTTTGTCAGTTGGAGTCATCAGGAGGAAGACATATTGTTGTGTTATCAAAAGATAAAGAGAAGGAGAAAGAAAAATCGAAAGCATCTGGTGTTGAAGCATCAGTAGCTACCAATGAATGTGTTAGGATTTCTGAAAGTAAGACACATGATGGGTCCATTAAGTATTCCAAAGGCCACAAAAAGGTTTCAATGAATCTTACTCAGGTGATCGATTACCTTCTTGAAATTGTATCGACATTTCCTACATACAAAGTAGAGGAAGGTTGTACAGGTTATCCAAGTGCCATGGTTGTAGATGAACCTACTACCAAAATGAAGGGTAAATCAAAGGTTGATGACACAATACCGATGGGTTCAGACAGTATATCGGAAAAATCAGCAGCCCTAGCTAAGGTGACTTTTGTTCTCAAGTTATTGAGTGATATTCTTCTGATGTATGTTCACGCAGTCGGGGTTATCCTAAGACGAGATCTGGAAATGTGTCAACTCCGTGGGTCTAGTCATTTAGACTGCCCGGGACATGGGGGAATTGTTCATCATGTTTTACACAGTCTTATTCCCCTTTCGGCAGATAAATCTGCTGGCCCTGATGATTGGAGAGACAAGCTATCTGAAAAAGCTTCGTGGTTTCTGGTAGTCTTGGCTGGGCGCTCAAGTGAAGGAAGGAGAAGGGTGGTTAATGAACTTGTGAAAGCCTTATCTTTATTTTCAAATGCCAAAAGTAATTCATCAAATACGATTTTGTTACCAGATAAAAAAGTCCTTGCTTTTGTTGATTTGGTATATTCCATTTTATCCAAGAATTTTTCTTCTGGCAACTCACCTGGTTCAGGTTGTTCTCCTGACATAGCAAAAAGCATGATAGATGGAGGAATGGTGCAGTGCCTATCAGGTATTCTTCAGGTAATTGATTTGGACCATCCTGATGCACCGAAAATTGTGAATCTCATACTTAAAGCTTTGGAAAGTTTGACAAGGGCAGCCAATGCTAGTGAGCAAATTTTCAAATCTGATACACAGAATAAGAAAAAATTAACAGGTCCAAGTGGAAGGTCTGATGCGCAGACTGCTGACACTTCAGTTTCTCAGGAATTACAATGTAGTGAGAACAGGAGCGGTGAACAGGTGGTCACTGATAATACTGGTTCAGAAGCGCATCCATTGGATGACTCTCAGAATGAAAGTGATCATGCAAATCCAACCCAGTGCATGGAGCAAGAAATGAGGATTGAGGAGGCTCCTGTTACTGATCCACCTGTGGATATTGGGATGGATTACATGCGCGACGAGATGGAAGACAGTGGCGCTTTATCCAACAGAGAACAAATTGAGATGAATTTTCATGTGGATAATAGAGTAGAAGAAGATATGAATGATGAAGATGATGACATGGGTGATGATGGTGAGGAAGATGACGATGATGACGATGGGGAGGATGAAGATGAAGATATAGCTGATGATGGCACTGCTCTAATGTCTCTGGCCGATACCGATGTGGAGGACCATGATGATGCCGCCTTGGGAGATGAGTATAATGATGACATGGTTGATGAAGAAGATGATGATTTCCATGAAAATCGTGTTATTGAGGTACGGTGGAGAGAAGCCCTTGATGGTTTAGATCATTTGCAGGTATTTGGACAACCTGGAACTGTGGGAGGGCTAATTGATGTTTCAGCTGAACCTTTTGAAGGGGTGAATGTTGACGATTTCTTTGGCATTCGGAGGTCTTTTGGCTTTGAGCGTCGACGCCAGACTAATAGAACTTCCTATGAGCGACCAGTTACAGAAGGAAATGGTCTTCAACATCCTCTTCTCTCGAGGCCATCACATTCTGGTGATTTAGGTTCAATGTGGTCGTCTGGTGGGAATTCATCCAGGAATTCAGAGGCCCTATCAGGTAACCTTGATGTTTCCCATTTCTACATGTTCGATGCTCCTGTTCTTCCTTATGATAATGCTGCATCTAGAATATTTGGTGATCGGCTGGGTGGTGCAGCACCACCGCCACTGGCTGATTTTTCTGTTGGTTTAGAGTCATTGCGGGTTTCTGGTCGAAGGGGGCCAGGTGATGGCCGGTGGAGTGATGATGGCCAACCCCAAGCTGGTGGTCAAGCTGCTGTAATTGCTCAGGCAGTCGAAGAACAATTCATCGTTCAATTAACAAATGATTCTCCCACTGAAAATCCTGCTGAAGAGCAGTCACATAACCCGGGATTATCAGAGAGGCTGCAAGAACATTTCCCGGCCCTAGTGGGTGACGACACTGGTGCTCAACTGAATAGTGATAGTCATGATAATGGTAATCAAGTTAATCAACTAGATGTAAGGCAGCTCTCTCAGGAAGAGATCAATCCAGTGGTTGCTTCTGAACAAGCAGGTGAATTTGCACAAGGGATTGAGCCTATGTCCAATCTGAATGGTCATGCTAGCATGGAAGTTGGGAATGGAAATGCCAATGTCAGCGAGCACTTGGAGACATCACATGGTTTGGTTGCTCAGCCAGAAGTGCTCTGTGGTAGGAGTGTTGATGTACGTGTGAATCCTCATAATGTACCACATCAAGACGATGGTTATACAAGATCCTCAGAACTAGATAATCAGTCTAGTTGCGATGCATTAATGATTTCTGGATCAGAGATGTCAGATCCTGGTGTTCATCATGCTTCTTCGGTTCCAGAAAGTACCGACGTCGATATGAATAGTGCTGACGCGGAAAGAGATCAGACTGACCAACAATTACCTATGTCTGAGTTCAATCTAGAGGAGCCGTCATTACAGCAGGACAACCTCGTCCAAGATGCAGGTCAGACAGATGAAAGTAGTTTGAATAATGAGGCTCCTAATGCAAATGGTATAGATCCAACATTTTTGGAGGCACTTCCAGAAGATCTTCGTGCAGAGGTTCTTGCTTCGCAGCAAGCTCAGTCTGCTCCAGCTCCTACATTCACACCACCTGCAGTTGAAGATATTGATCCAGAGTTTTTGGCAGCCCTTCCTCCTGATATCCAAGCTGAAGTTCTTGCCCAACAACGTGCTCAAAGGATTGTGCATCAATCAGAAGGACAGCCAGTTGACATGGATAATGCATCAATTATTGCCACTTTTCCTGCTGATCTACGTGAAGAGGTTTGTGTCTTGAACTCTGCACTTCATAATTATTCCCTGGTATACTTACTTTATTTGCTTCTGGTAGGTGCTCTTGACGTCTTCAGAGGCAGTGTTATCAGCATTGCCATCTCCATTGCTTGCGGAAGCACAGATGCTTAGGGACAGAGCAATGAGTCATTATCATGCTCACAGCTTGTTTGGAGGTAGCCATAGGCTTACTAGTCGGAGAAATGGTTTGGGATTTGATAGGCAGACAGTGATGGACAGGGGCGTTGGAGTTTCCATCAGCAGGAGGGCATCAGCTCTTGCAGAGAACTTGAAGTTGAAGGAACTTGAAGGAGAACCATTTTTGGATGCTAATGGGTTGAAAGGATTAATCCGGCTTTTACGCTTAGCACAGGTAGTTTTATCCTTTGAAATGATCCTATAGATAGCCTACTGGGTAACTATAATGCTTGGCAAAGGGAATTTCTGTTGAACTGATCCCTTAAATATTTATTCTTAATTATCTTGTTTTCCACAAGCATGCGTCCTACAAATTATCAGAAACTTAAGTCATCACGTATTAAATTGAATCCTTTCTTTTAAAGTGACACGGGTTTTTGGTGAGAGTTGCAAAGGTGGATGATTTTTTAATTTTTCATTGTTACCCTTGAAACAAATGCCAAAGAAAAACTGGTCATCCAAGTCAGTGTACTTTCATAAGAAACCTTTTATTTTTTCCTAACCTAAAAAATAAAATGTTATCGTTACCCAAAAAAAAAAAGAGACATTCTCGTGTCTCTGTGCCCATAGCATGTCTCCGTGTGTGTCGGGCACGAAGACACATTTTCGTGTCTCCGTACGAGACACACGTCCAACGATCGTAGTCCAGGACACCAAACAAATCTCTAGTGTTCACAATTTCACCTACTTTAACCTTCAAAACAAATGCCAAAGAAAAACGGTCATCCAAGTCAGTGTACTTTCATAAGAAACCTGTACAATGAGACTATTTGTGGGATATACCAGAAAGAAAATAGGAGCATTTAATCATGGACGGGTAAATACAAATTTAGATCTGTACTTCTGTGTTCTGAATTTTCTTGCAACAAGTCCCCGAATAGTGTGAGTTTGTTGACCATATAACGCAAGCAGCCCATTCCTAAACCTTCACAGAGGTTCTTAGGCAGGCTTATCATAAAGGATTATCTTTTTAATCCTCAGCTTGAAATGATTCTTCTTGAAGTAAGGAATAATTGATTCTAAATCAAGGGATAAGAATGGAACATCTTAAAAACTGGTTTAAGAGGGTATCAAAACGACTATCGCAAGATGTTTTAGATTAATGTCACAAATGGCAAAATGGAATCTTCAAAGCTCTATGCACTGAAAGGAAAAGTTTAAGCAAATAGAATTTGTTGAGAAAGATGAATTAATTGTTAAAGAAAAAGTATTTTGAAGTATTGAATAAAAAGAATTATTCTATAAAAATTATGGTATTTTATTTTATGATATATAAGTACAATTATGTATATAAATGGAACTCATTTAGAGGGAGATCTTTTAAGTAAAAAATTGATGTATTGGAGAATGTGAGTTGGAACTGAGGTGCTTATTCTTTTTTCTGCTTTTAGCCTCTGGGTAAAGGTCTATTGCAGAGACTACTGTTGAACTTGTGTGCACACGGGGATACAAGAGCAATTCTGGTTCATCTTCTGCTTGGTATGATAAAGCCAGAGGCTGCAGGAATGGTTGGCGGTTTGACAGGATTTAATTTTCAGAGGCTTTATGGATGTCAGTCAGATGTTATTTATAGTCGATCTCAATTATGTGGTGGTATGTTTCTATTTTATTCCCCGATGATGCGTAATATTCTTTTTTTGATTGGGTATTGGTTTTTCAGTGATGGTTTTATTCTATCTCAGGTCTTCCTCCACTGGTGTTGCGGCGGGTACTCGAGATTCTTGCGTATCTGGCTACTAATCATTCTGCTGTTGCTAGCCTTTTGTTCTACTTCGACCACTCTGTTGTTTCTGAGTCTGCAAATATAAACAGTTCGGAATTTAACAATGATAAAGGTAAGGGAAAAATCATAGAAGAAGATCGTCTGAACTCTTCTGCAAGCACTCAAGAGGGAAATGTGCCGTTGATACTGTTTCTTAGACTCTTGAGTCAACCACTTTTCTTGCGCAGTATTGCACATCTTGAGCAGGTATACGTCTTGATACAGGGAAATTACCATTTAAATAATTTCTGCTCAGCTGTATTGTTTTTTCTCATTCTACAAGAACTCGGTGCAGGTCATGGGTCTGCTTCAAGTGGTTGTATATGCAGCGGCATCCAAGTTAGATTTGCAGTCTCATTCTGAAGAAACAGAAACTCCGAATGAGAATCCTCCCTCCAATGAAATTGCAACTGATGTACAGAAAGATCCTCATTTATCTGAGACAGAGATTAATCGACTTGACAAAAGTTCTGGCAGTTCAAAAACCACGTCAGATGGTCAGAGAAACTTGAAGACTGTTGATATCTTCTTACTGCTGCCGCAATCTGATTTGCATAATCTTTGCAGTCTTCTTGGCCATGAGGGGTAATGGACTTATCTAATTTTTACATCTTTATGCTGTTGACTTTTCTGTTTGTCCTTGGTTAATATAGAACTTCACGTGTGTTATTATATTCTGCCACTGAATGATATATATGCTTTAATTCTGCATATTCAGTTTTTCTCTATAGAATTAGTGAAAAATTACCTAATTCTTACTGTTCATTCATCAGGCTTTCCGACAAAGTTTACATGCTTGCTGGCGAGGTACTAAGGAAGTTGGCTACTGTTGCTGCCCCTCACCGCAAATTTTTCATTTCGGAGCTTTCAGATTTAGCCCAAAAGTTGAGCAGCTCAGCTGTTGATGAGCTTGTAACGCTTAGGGATACACACATGCTAGGCTTGAGTGCTGGATCTATGGCTGGGGCTGCAGTTCTTCGTGTTTTGCAGACACTAAGTTCACTCACTTCAACCGGCACTGACAGTAATAAGAATGAAGGGGATGATGAGGAACGGGAAGAACACGCTATCCTGTGGAAGTTGAATGTTGCTTTGGAACCATTGTGGAAAGAACTAAGTGAATGTATTAGTACAATGGAGACAGAGCTGGCTCAGAGCTCTCGCTCTTCAGTTATTTCAAATATTAACATTGGGGAGCAGATACAGGGTTCTTCATCTTCTTCTCCCCTTCCTCCAGGAACTCAGAGACTCCTGCCTTTTATTGAGGGTTTCTTTGTTCTCTGCGAGAAACTACAGGCAAACAATCAAACAGTACATCAAGATCATTCCAGTGTGACAGCAAGAGAGGTTAAAGAGTCTTCTGGGACTTCAGTTTCACTGTATATAAAATCTGGTGCGGATTCTTACAAAAGGTTTGATGGTTCTGTCACGTTTGCAAGGTTTGCTGAGAAGCACCGACGCCTTCTTAATGCTTTTGTGAGGCAGAATCCTGGCTTGTTAGAAAAATCTCTCTCTATGATGCTGAAAGCTCCACGATTGATTGATTTTGATAACAAAAAAGCTTATTTCCGTTCCAGAATTCGGCAGCAGCATGATCAACACGTCTCAAGTCCACTGAGGATCAGTGTTAGGCGGGCATATGTTTTGGAGGATTCATATAACCAACTTCGCATGCGACCAAATCAAGATTTAAAGGGGCGACTGAATGTGCATTTTCAAGGTGAAGAGGGTATTGATGCTGGCGGTTTGACAAGGGAATGGTATCAAGTACTGTCAAGGGTTATATTTGACAAAGGGGCTTTGCTCTTTACGACTGTTGGAAACAATGCAACTTTCCAACCAAATCCCAATTCTGTATACCAAACTGAGCATCTCTCTTATTTCAGATTTGTAGGCCGAGTGGTAATCCTCCAAGGACTTATTTTTTAGCTTGAATTTTTTCTTTGTATGTCTTTGGATAGTTGCGCTAAGCTACTGAACTTTGGTGATACAATTCCTTCTGTAGGTTGCCAAGGCACTGTTTGATGGGCAACTGCTGGATGTGTATTTTACCCGCTCCTTTTACAAGCACATCCTTGGCGTTAAGGTGACTTATCATGATATAGAGGCTGTTGATCCAGATTACTACAAAAATTTGAAATGGATGTTGGAGGTGAGTGGCATTAAGATTCTAATCCAATTTTTTTTTTTATTTTAAAATTCTGACATGCAAGGTCCTGATATTTATCTTTTCCTGTGTCAGAATGACGTGAATGACATACCTGATCTGACATTTAGCATGGATGCTGATGAAGAGAAACTCATCCTTTATGAAAAAACAGAGGTATACATCCTTTAGGAGTTTTCCTTGTACTCTTGTTCTGAATTTCAATTTGAACGTTTGAGTCTCCTCTAAGAATGCATATCATGTCTGATCTTTTGATGTACTTGGCAAAAGGTTACTGATTACGAGCTCATACCGGGAGGAAGAAACATAAGAGTCACAGAAGAAACAAAGCATGAATATGTAGACCTTGTTGCTGATCATATTCTGACTAATGCAATCAGGCCTCAAATTAATTCCTTTCTTGAGGGTTTCGATGAATTAGTTCCACGGGAACTTATTTCTATCTTTAATGATAAAGAACTTGAACTGTTAATCAGCGGACTTCCAGAAATCGATTGTAAGTTCCCATACCTGTACATTTGTTTATTGTACAAGTGATACTGATTATTTTCCTGAAGTGTCCTAATCACATTGATGTTACTGTAGTCGATGATCTGAAGTCCAACGCTGAGTATACTGGTTACACAGCAGCGTCTAATGTTGTTCAGTGGTTTTGGGAGGTTGTTGAAGGATTTAACAAGGAAGATATGGCAAGATTGCTGCAATTTGTAACTGGAACCTCAAAGGTGATTTGTCAGTGACCAATTTATGTTGCTAATTTTTCATTCTTCGACATTATATGTTCTTGCAACAATATTTCTAATGCTCTAATAGCTGATCTCATTCTGTGCAACTTTTTCAAGAGGGAAATATGTTTTATGTGAAAGTAAGAGCATCAGGAAACCCATGTCCGAACAAGTACATTTGTTTTAGGGTTTCTTGATATGCTGTTCCATCTTCTTGCAAATGGATCTTATCATTGAGTTTAGATGCACAACGTTGGTCATCTGTAAGTTCAAAACTGAGTGCTAAAAAATGATTGCTAGAGAAGGTTGCACCTTTGAAATGAAGTAAAAGTAGTTTTGGATTTAGAAATTTGTAAAACAAGTCTTTGCACCTTAAAAGTTGGGAATAGGTTCAGGTGTAGTTGTTATGCTATAATGCACT